TAAGTGTAGTTACAGGATGAGAGCTATGCTCGTGGTGTCCCGTCTTCCCAGTACTCTTTGTCTCATAACGCTTTGAAACTCGCCCTGATAAACACACACACACACACATACATGTGTGTGTTCATGTGTGTGTGTGTGTGTGTGTGTGTGTGTGTGTGTGTGTGTGTGTGTGTGTGTGTGTGTGTGTGTGTGTGTGTGTGTGTGTGTGCGCGCGCGCGTGTGTAACAAAGTAATACAAGTAGTGGTTTCAAATAATGTTGGCAGAATAAGTTACATTAACCAAGCTGACCCGACCCGAATAGCCCAAGAGACACTAATAACATACTAATCACCACTTAAACAGCAATGACTATAATTGCCCGCCCGCCTGCCTGCCTGAACGAGTGAAGGGCCCAATGGTTTTTATCCCATGACAGGAAAATCAACAACGCTGGATAACTTGCTGTTAAAATTTCATATAATTACAGTTTAATCGTAAGTCAATTATAACCTCATGGGATGAGAGATGGTAGTAGTGGTGGGTAGGGGTGGTACCTACCTATCAGTACTTGCCTATCAGAGTCTATGGGGGAGGTAAGGTAATTATCAGGACAAAGCGATAAGCTAACACGACCACACCCCCCCCCCCCTCCAAAATCACCTCCTTCCCCCCCTTTTCCAGGACCACAACGACTATCTCCAAGACCTCATCCCCTGACTATCTCCAAGACCTCATCCCCTGACTATCTCCAAGACCTCATCCCCTGACTATCTCCAAGACCTCATCCCCTGAGTATCTCTAAGGCCTCATCCCCTGACTATCTCCAAGACCTCATCCCCTGAGTATCTCCAAGACCTCATCCCCTGACTATCTCCAAGACCTCATCCCCTGACTATCTCCAAGACCTCATCCCCTGACTATCTCCAAGACCTCATCCCCTGAGTATCTCCAAGACCTCATCCCCTGAGTATCTCCAAGACCTCATCCCAATCTTAGACACTAACCCCAACTTCTGGGCCCACAACCCCAGTCCGGGATAAGAACCCTTCTGAGCTTAACTCCTCCAAGACGTGTATACAAGATTGTATAACAACGCACCAGCCGAAGCAACCCGTCCAAGAACTTGGAGTGGTTGGTGGAGCGATGGTCTGGCTTCTTGCAAGCCAGACCAATCTTGACCATCCAAGTTCAATCTTGACCATCCAAGTTCGAGGCGTTCAATCCTCGACCATCCAAGTGGTTGGGCACCATTCCTTTCACCCCGTCCTATCCTAAATCCTAGTTTGGATTTCTTCCAAGTGTTATACGGTCTTGCTGGCTTGCTGCTCTCTCTCTGATAATTACCGCAACCCCCTCTAAGACCACCAGCCCCCCTCTCTAAGACCACCAGCCCCCCCTCTAAGACCACCAACCCCCTCTCTAAGACCACCAACCCCCCTCTAAGACCACCAGCCCCCCTCTCTAAGACCACCAACCCTCCCTCTAAGACCACCAACCCCCTCTCTAAGACCACCAACCCCCCCTCTAAGACCACCCCCCCCCCTAAAAGACCACCACCCCCCCCCTCTAAGACCACCAACCCCCCCCCCCCCCCCCCCCCCCCTCTAAGACCACCAACCCCCCCTCTAAGACCACCAACCCCCCCTCTAAGACCACCAACCCCCTCTCTAAGACCACCAACCCCCCCCCCCTAAGACCACCAACCCCCCCTCTCTAAGACCACCTACCCCCTCTAGGAGTACGACCCCACCTCCACCTAAAGGAACACATCACCTCTCATTGACTACAACCTCCACCCCTTCTGCAGTACCATAATAACTACAACTCAGAACTAACTACAACTCCCTCCCCCCCCCAAAGACCCAGCACCCTCCTCCAGAACCCCCCCCCCCTCAACCCCACCCCACCCCCAGCTGCTCTCAACAATAACACAAATCAATGAGTCGTTCCCTATGTGCTTGTTTGCCTGTACTCGGCGCCCGCCCTGGGAGCTTTGTTCCAATATTGATCACATTCTCTTTCAAAAGTTATAATAAAAAAGGTCTTTGAACCCCCATATATAATATCGAAAACATATATGAATGAAGACATATATTATATATAAACACACATATATATATATATATATATGTGTGTGTATATCACGAAAATAAACACGTGATTAAGAATGTGACTA